CATGGTAAGAAGATGCCCACGCTGCCTGGCGCTGCCTGCAGCCCTCGGGGCTCGCCGCCCGCCTTTGTGCTCACGCTGCTTCTTTGTCTTTTCTCTTGAGGACACGGCCCCCGCTAGCAACAAAACCGAGGACCAAGTGAAGCACCTGCTGCTGGTAAGGTCCCCCGCTACCCCCACCGGCCCCATAGCTGCCCCCTGCGCTGCGGGAGGTGCTGGGACCCTCTGCTTCCAGCTTCAAGCTGCCTCTTGGCTGGGCCTGGGGTCTCTTGGGGCGCTCAGAGCTGGTGGGAGCTCCTGGCCTCCTCCAATGTCTGTCTGGCTGATATAAGCAGAGCTTCAGCCCCCCACGCACCTCGTTTTTCTTTGCCCTGTCTCACCATGGTGGTTGCTCTGCAGCAAGCAGACCCCAGGAAGATGTTCCCGAAACTGAAGGACAACCTGATGGACAACCTGAAAAGCCTGAAGAAGACCATGACTGATGCGGACTGGAAGGTCAGTGCTTGCTGCCGTCCTACTCCTCCCCTTCCAGGAGCACCCTGCTTTGGGGAGGGACTGGGGTGTCCCCACCTGGAAAAACGAAGTCCTACTTGAGCCAGGCTTGAGTTACCTCCACCCCAAGGGAGGTGGTGGTGCTCACGACCTTCCCTGGCCCAGGCTGGAGCTTGGGGCATGGCTCCCCCCGCCGTGCACCACCCCTGTCCCGGTTAACATGCTGGTTCCCCTTGTTGCAGTCCTTTGAATCCTGGATGCACAAGTGGCTGCTGTTTGAAATGGCCAAGAACCCCAAGCCGGAGGAGCGTAAGGCGATCCCGGCGGAGCAAGGTATCGGGGATGGGGGCTGCTGAGCTGGGGAGGGTTGGGACTGGCTCTTTGGGAGCAACCACCCCCCAGGAGGTGCCAGCACGGGGCAGCCCAAAGGCAACCAACCCCTCCGTCCCCTGACCGGTCGTGGACCTCTTCATCCCATGGGGAGCCTCTGGTTGGTGGCCTTCAGGACATCACGGAGCCGCTGCCCGCAGGGAATTGGGGATGAGCAAATGTCCGAAAAGCCGTAGCACCACACCAAATCCTCGGTCCTTGGCTAGCCCAAGAGCTTTAGAAAGGTCACCGAGGTGGGGCTTGTTCTCCTTTTATGTTTAATTTAGCTGCTTCTGGATAAAACCTCCCGCCGAGGCTGCCGGGCAGAAGAAGGGCCCGCAGGGCTCACGGTGTCTCCCCTTTGTTTTTATTGCCCTAGTGCAAACTAAATGCCAGGCGGAGGCCAATTCTGGGGGTGTCCGGCCGGGTTACTTCCACCCGCAGTGCGATGAGAACGGCGACTACCTGCCCAAACAGTGCAATGCCGCCACGGGCTACTGCTGGTGCTCCTACAAAAATGGCACCAGGATTGAGGGCACTGCCACTCGGAAAAAGCTGGACTGCCCCGGTAGGTCACCAGGGAGGGGCTGGAGGAGAGGAAGGAGCAGCATGCGTGGATGCTGCCCCATTTCACTTGTGATTAGGGCGAAGGAGAGCAGCCAGGGAGAGGAGGGTGCCCGAGCTGTAGAGAGCATCCCTCACCCCTCTTTGGTGCCAGCATGTTAAAGCTGGAGGGGACCCTAAAAACCACAGCCCTCCTTGGCTGGCTGCAGTGACAGCAGAGGCACGCAGTCAAGGTTTTCCACGAGCCCCACTTGCCCCCAAGCCCGTGGCTCAGCAGGTGGGCACAGGCTCTCCCCTCAGAGGGATGGGGGCAGTGGGGCAGCCCCAGGGCTCCAGCACCCACGCCCTGCCCTCCCTCTGCAGATGCTGCCACCGTGGAGCCGGAGGAGATGATGTTCTCCGGGGTGGAGATGCTCAAGCTGGGTGCGGATAAAGGTGAGGGCTACACGCGGTCGCGAGGCTGGGGGAGTTGGGGAAAGCCCTTGGGGCTGGGGCAGGCACAGGTCCACCCCCAAGAGCCACGGCAGCGCAAAGGCACTGCTGGGCAGCGGAGGTTGTGATGGAGACGGGGGGCAAAAGCGGCCTGGGCTTGCCATCTTACCAACTCCCTCCTCTCTTTCCCCCACAACAGCCAACTAGAAGAGGACACGAGCAGAGGCCTGTCCCCTCTTCAGCACCCCAGCTCCCATCTTTGATTTTGTTTTTTTTTTTGCTCTATTTCATTTCTGCTCTTACATTGCTTTCTTGAGATGATTAACAGCGGGCACCCCCGTGCGCTCCTGCCCCTCAAGGCATCGGTTGTGACCCCTTCCCCTGCTGCAGGGCACCAGACGGGGCTGCAGCTGCCACCAGGATCAGTGCCAGAGACAAAAAGCATTCCCTCAAAGGGGGGGTAAAGCAGGCGGGAAAGTCATTTCAGCGATGTCGGACCCATAAATCCTCTTGCCTTTTGCTCATCGGCATCCCGCAGCCCCTGGGCAGCGGCAGGCGCAGAGCTCACCCCTGCTGAAGAATGAGCCACTAACGCTTTCTTACACCGAGTGAACATTAAAAGCAGCAAAACAACCTCCACCAGCTTCTTAACTGACCCCCGTAGGTTGAAGCCCTGTTAAGATTATTAGAGTAGAGGGTTTTTCTTGTGGAGCGCTCAGTTTTGTAGAGCTGAGCTTATCTTCAGTAGAGATAAGATGCTCACCTTCAGCTTTTGCCTTCAGGCTGGAGAACAGCCACAGCAGAGGGTAACAGCGGGCAGAGGAGCTGACCCTGGAGTCAGAGGGGCTTCTAATTTTTTTTTAATATATCTGATAGTTCCTGTATAAGTGACCTCACAAGCTAATTATTTCAAATAAACTTTTGAGTAAGAAAGCCTTGTAAGCAACTCTAACAGGGCAGTGCTTGCAACAGCACTGCTGTCCTAGGTTAAAAATAAATGAATCTTAAGAAAAAAGGGAAAAACAAAAATCTCTGCAAAGACACTCGGACATCTGTGCCCCCCCCCGGATTGTACATATGCCTTGCCACGTTCTTGGCCCACCACTTGTTCAATCTCCCCTGCAGCCCAGCACAGCTCAGGAGGCTGAAATCACCTTTAAGTGAGTTGCAGCACAGGGGGAAGAAGAGGAGAGCAGCCCCCTGCACCTGAACCATCTCCCTCCTGCTCCCAGGCTGCACAGGTGCGAGGGCAGCAGCCGGAGAGCTCTGCCCTCCCCAGCAGAGCCTGAACCCAGGCTGCACAGCATGGGAGGGAGGAGCACAAGGGGATCCCGTCCCTTTTTCCTCACCTGCTAAACCCCAGGGCTGGGAGTGAAGCGAGGAAACCAGGCAGAAGCCCAGTACAAGGGGCAGGGCAGCAGGTGCCAGGGAGGCAGCAGGGTGGGTCCGCACAGGGCGATGCGCAAACCTGCTCTCAGCACCTGCCCCTACGCAGCGTTTTAGTAACGAAAAAAATACAAACCAACACTAGAAGAACACGCAGTTCAAAGCCGAGGAGCAACAGCGTCTGCTCTTCCTCGGGGAGCAGGCGGAAAGCAGTTAGTTTTTCCCCCGGGGTTGAAGTGGTGCCTGTGAGCCTGGGTGGAAGCCGGGCTCTGCCCTCCTACCTGCAACGTCCTCCAGAGAGGGCCGAGCCCTGCCCCTGGCTCAGCCCCAGCGCCCGCCCTGCCTCCCTGGCCTGGGTTTGGTCCCTGAGCCAAAGGGCTTCTCACCTCCCTTCCTCCCTTGAAAGCAGCTGAAGCAAAATCCCACCGTTCTTTTTTTATTTTCTATGCCATAAAAAAACCCCACAAAAAATTACGCCGCCTTGGCCGAGAACAGCTGCCGGACACAGCTGTTCAGTGCAACTCCAGGGACTCGATAATCACTGCCGTCAGTGTTAGAATAAAAAGTAAACTCAAGAGCTCTCTTCCATAGTAGCAAAAGGACTGACACCACAAATCACAGAAGGGGGAAGGAAAAAAAAAAAAAAAAAAAAAAAAAGGTAAAAGTTTCTCTTAAAAATATAGCTCTGTGATGAGAAAGAGATGGCTGGGTGTCAACTAGGAGGAAAGCAGTTTATGCAAGCTGGCTCTTCTCTGGTCAAACTGCTTCCTTCAGTTCAGTTCTTGTGCAACAGGCGAGCCGTCAGGAGGGGCAATAAACACGTCTCTGGGCCCCAGCGGGGCAGGAGGAGGCAGAAAGTTACACCGCTCTGCTCTAAAAGTCACAGTTAAAAGAAGTTATAAATTATTATTTAAAAAAATGTTGGAATTCTCCTGCTGAGCTTCCTTTTCCTCTCTTCTGTTTGATCTTCACCCATAAATCCTTAATCACAGGGATGCGGTACCTTTGGGGAGAGGAGTTAAAAGAGTTAGGGATGGGGAGGAGGAGAACAGCCTTACAGCTGAGGAGAGCAAGGGCAGAGTCATCTGGTCCACTTCCAGGTGGCTACAACATCACCATCTAATCCACATTACTTTTCCAAGCTCCCTGTGGTCAGCAGGGACAGACGGACACTGCCAGAGGCCACTTATCTCTGCTGGTGACAGAGGACAGCAACGTCCAGGCTGGACATCCAGTTGTCAGCAGCTAAAGAGTTGAGGTCAAACACATCCAGAGAAGCCAGCACACTGCTGCATGACTTTCCTTATACCGGTCCACTCCCTGGCCCTCTAATCTAAGGCCAGGCCGACTCAGTGGGTGTTTAGAGGGCACACCGTCTTCCCAAGACTGGCCCAGGAGTACTGAATTTGGCCAAGGTTACCGCCGTTCAGAGGTACCAACTGATAGTCCCCACAGACCATGTACCTTCTCACAATCCTTCAGGCTCAGCTGTTTTCTTCTTCTAAAAAGAAAAGGGTGAAAAATAAATCAGTATCATCTGCACCACAAACATGAAGGACCCAGCAGAGCCACAAGCCACAGAGGCTTCTTGGCTGCCATACTGACAGGGACATATCCCTAAATGAGGAAGATCCTATAGTGTCCCTCTGCCCCCTTTCCTAGCCCTTGGGGTGGGACACAGTAGCCTGCCGAGCCCTCAGGAGCTCCAGTTTCTGCTGAAAACAACTAGATGAACAGACAGCTGAAAAGCAGCACTTACTCCTTGGGCAGGTTCTCTGCCACCAAAAGGGCCCCCTGGGTTAGACCCCTCCAGGGAAAGGGATCTCTCCTGGGGCAACGGTACAGGAACAAGCCCTTCTTCAAGCCACCCCACTCCTAAACAACCAAAGGTCAGGGTGTCTCAAGACTAGCCACAATGAACTGCAGCCTCCTCTGTCCTGCCAGCAAGGCCAGGACACGGCTCTGTTCCTCTCCAGCCTGGCATGTTGCAGGGATGAGCGTCACAACCGTGGTTCGGAACAGCTCTCCCCATGGTATGCTGTCCCAGGGTCTTGCACATACCTTCTTCTTCTTCTTGTGAACCTCAGCAGAGCCATCTGCTGTCGGCTCCCCTTCCGAAGACACCTTTTTGCTCTTCTTCTTTTCCTTTCCAGTCTTTTTTTCTGGGAGAGGGAAAGAAAAGTCAACTAAGAGAGGGACTCTGGTACTGCCAGCCTGTGAGAAGGGGCACAAAGAGCGGTGGGAGCATCTCCAGTAAGTTTTTGATTACATCTGAACCTGAGCAAGCTTTCCAGAGCAGTAACTCTGGGTGAGGGCAGAGCCCTGCCACGAGGCAGCTGTGCCCAGGGCTGTTTCTCCAGTACCTTTGAGCCAGAGCGGTTTGATCCCACCATCCACACATACATGTGGGCAGAATTACACAGGTTCCCCCGTCCTTCCCACCTCCCGCTGCCCACCCACTCCGAGGAACCACTTCAGTGCCGGAGCGGCTGGGCACATGCCAGAAATCAGAGCAAGGGGAGCTACTAACACAGGATGGACACAAGGTTCGGCTCAGCACGACTGCTCCAACAGGCTCCAGCTCACCCCTGTGCAACAGCCCACACAAGGGCTGACGGACAAGTCTGTCTCCTCCAAAATGAAGGGCTGCATCTCCGCGGAACAGAAACCCCAGCAGATCTGGCCCATCCATTTCATGTCCCTCTTTTTTTTTTTTTCTTTTTTTTTAAAAAAAAGCCTACAAGATCCAGCACAGAACCAGCTCTGATTTGCAATTGCAGTCTGCACTGCAAAGAAAAAAAAAATTGCCTTTACATTAGGGCAGCAAACAGAGCATTACAGAGGCGCGCAGACAAGAGGGGCAGGAAACATTCTTAATTGGGAGCAACGAGCAGGAGGCTGGTACCATCCCCCTCTTTCTCCAGGGGTTTGAAAGCAGCAGTAACAGCCCCGAGCCAAATCTCTTGAATGAGCTGCTCACCATGTTGCAGCACAGACACTGATCAGGCAGGGTCAGGAAGGGGCACTGCCACCCCACGGGGAACAGCAGTGGCTGACACGGCAGACGACAGCGCGGATTTCAAGGCTGATCTCTCTTAAAGAGGCTGGCAGCAAGGGGTCACATTCAGGAAGCTCTGACTAACACAAAGCCCTGCACCTGTGAACGCTGGGCTTCCTCTGTCCACAGCATGTCAGGGACCTTCTGCCTGCCGTCCCCAGCCACGTTTCACCTTAGCTCTCTGCCAGCGCATGTTGCATTTGCCACAGAGGAGCCAGAGCAGCCAGCTGGGTTAGCAGAGCCGCTCTGCACTGCAGACACAGAGCAGGGCACCATGCAGAGCGCAGCGAGCGGCACACAGGCCTCACGGCTTGCATCTAGCAAGAACTCTCCCAAGCCCAGTGCAGGCGGGCACGCCACGCAAGGAGGGCAAAGAAGCCTCAGGAGGTTCAACGCGGACTCACCTCAACCCTCTGCCAGCCCTCAGCTAGACAGCTGCTTCCAGGGTAAAGGCCAGGAAAGGAGAAAGACCTGGAGGGACGGCTCATACCATGGAAGATGCACGGGGACATCAGCTTGCTCTGCAAGCAGCAAGGATCAGCGCAAGTGCTTTGTCAGAAAAAGACCTGGGGGTGTTGGTTGACAGCCGGCTGAACATGAGCCGGCAGTGTGCCCAGGCGGCCAAGAAGGCCAATGGCATCCTGGCCTGTATCAGAAATAGTGTGGCCAGCAGGAGTAGGGAAGTGATCATGCCCCTGTACTCGGCACTGGTGAGGCCGCACCTCGAATACTGTGTTCAGTTTTGGGCCCCTCACTACAAGAAGGACGTCGAGGTGCTGGAGCATGTCCAGAGAAGGGCAATGAGGCTGGTGAGGGGTCTGGAGAACAAGTCTTCTGAGGAGCGGCTGAGGGAACTGGGGTTGTTTAGCCTGGAGAAAAGGAGGCTGAGGGGAGACCTCATCGCTCTCTACAACTACCTGAAAGGAGGTTGTAGCGAGGTGGGGGTCGGTCTCTTCTCCCAAGTAACAAGCGATAGGATGAGAGGAAATGGCCTCGAGTTGCGCCAGGGGAGGTTTAGATTGGACGTGAGGAAAAATTTCTTTACTGAAAGAGTGGTGAAACATTGGACCAGGCTGCCCAGGGCAGTGGTGGAGTCCCCATCCCTGGAGGTATTTAAAAGACGAGTAGATGAGGCACTTAGGGACATGGTTTAGTGGGCATGGTGGTGTTGGGTTGATGGTTGGACTCAATGATCTTAGAGGTCTTTTCCAACCTTAGTGAGTCTATGATTCTAAGTATCAACACAGTTCCCACTGTGCCGGATGCAGGACAGAGGGGCAGGAGAGCCTAGCTTGCTGTCTGCAACATGACCTGGTGCTGAGACTGCAGAAAAACACTGAAGTGGGGTGTTAAAAATCTGGCACTGGCTTTGGGTGGGCCAAGAGGGAAGTAGCCAAGCAGGAAGGTAACGGGAAAGTGGGTGCCACTCACAAGGCCCCACACCAGAGGCTGAAAGTGCATCAGCTGCAAGAACCTATTGCAAATGCAGCCCCAAGTGAGGGATGCTTACTTTTAGCTGATTTTTTCTTTTCCTTGCTGCCTGGCAACTTCTCCAGGTCACCAGCTGCTTTCTTCTTTTTCTTTTTGGTAACTTCTTCGTTAGCTTGCCCTTTCCGCTTCTTTTCCTTGGGCTGCCCAACAGCCCCATCCTCTCCTGGCAGTTTCCGCTTCTGAGATGTTTTCTGCTTTTTATTCTCTTTGTCTTTGCTCTTAGATGTTTTCACACCCTTGTCTGCCGTGGAGGAAGATTTCTTCTTTTCCTTCTTTTCTTTTTTCTCCTTTTTCTTCTTCTTCTTCTCTTCTGACCCTTCCATTGTCTGCACTGCAGGAACTTTGGCAGCAGTGGTGACCTCGTCTTCGCTCCCTGAGCTTGACTCCTCTGATTGTGGGATGGAGAACGCTGCATAGGACCATGGGGTCACCAGTGCCCCTTTTGCTGCAACATCATTCTCTTTCACAGCCAGGGCTTTCTTGACTGGGGAAGATTTGAGGCTGGCATGACCTGGCTCTGTTTTTCCTGCCACTTTCTCTTTGTTGGAGGCTTGTGTGGCTTCCTGCCCTGGAGGGGGGTTGTTTTCTGCAGAAACAGTGACAAGAGAGAGAAGACAACTCAGGGAGCGTTTGTTACATAGACCACAGTTACTGGAGGACGGAAATATGTTTGAGTTTGAAGAGGAGCATCCGGTTCTCCCTCAAAAGCAAAGCCTGCTGGCCATCCCAGCTACAGCAGAGCCAGAGAAAGATGCCTCAGCCTGAGATCAGGTATCTGGCGAGGGAAGTGGGTTACAACAGCCACAACAGCTTTGGCCACATCCATGGAGAACAGGGACTAGACTAAACCGTAGCACAAGACGGGTGAGCATAGATAGAGCAGTCCTTCCCCAGGACACGACCCCCAGTAAGCCAGGGACTTCCCAAGATGGAGGGGGTACCCATACCACCAAGTTTAACCATCACCAATGGCCTATCCCCCAGCACCTGGGCCTTCTTGAACCTACGTATAGTTCTGACCTCCTCAACAGCCCTTTGCACAACTTAATGATGTACTCAAGAGGCCAAACAGACCCATCTGAGCCTCTAGAGCGGGCCAGAGCTCACAGCCAGACCAGAGCTCATCTGAAGGTGCCAGGGTCGTACCAGAGCAGAAGCAGCTTCCAGCTCCGAGTTTTACAATTTGCCAACAAACGAGGGCGAAAGGGAAATGGCAGAACATTTAGTTTCTCCATAGGTCTTCCCACTTGCTTCCCCTCTTCTGCCCTCCAGACATGCTACAGAGCCCAGAAAGACCAAGGGGAGGCTTGAATACCAGCACTGTATAAGCAGATGTTCTTCAGCCAGTGTTTAAACGTTCCCTAGGAGCCATCACTACCGCAGCACACCAACGCAGTTGGCATAGGTTTTAGGAAGAGCCTTACCTACTCCCGTTAATTGCATTAATTATGGCAGTTAAAGCAGAACTTGGAAGAGGCAAAGGCACAGAGCCTCACAATCCAGCCAGCGCAGGAGGGGCGTTCAAGAAGAGGGCTGTTGTCGTGGCCAGGGGAAGCCAGCAGACGGCAGCAGCACTCCATGCTACTGGGCTCTGCGGTGGAGACACGGTGGGAACGGGGCCCCGTCCCAGTGTCAGCCTCCCGTGCCAGCACAGCTTTGCTCCTGGGCCAAGCAGATTCCCGACCTTGCCAAAGGAGACCCACCTGCTTTGTGGTTTGCAGCCACCTGGTCGACGTCTGTGTCGGAGTCACTGCTGTCACTGCTGGAGCCGTCAGCTGGGGCTGCTTTCCCGGAGGCCTTGGCAAGGGAGTTTGCAGCAGTCACGGCTGCTTTCCCTTGCCCCACTTTGCCTACAGGCTGGGGGGGAACAGTCTTTGGCGCTTGGGGTGCTGTTGGGGTCTTGGAGAGGCCCAGATAGCCTGTGAGGAGGGACTGAAACAGCACAGACACACTGAGGAGTCACAGCAGGGCAGCCTCCCACACACCAGACACACAGATCTGTCTCTGCTGCTATTGCCCCCGTACTCCAAGTGAAGGGCCCACCTTTCACCACCCGCAGTGATCTTACACTGCTCAACTAGCCCTGCAGAGGCCAGGGCTGCCAGGAGAGGGGGCCAGCACTGACAGACACTGGCTGAGCTTACAGCAGCGACAGCTGATGTCGAAAGGTCTCCTTTTTGTTCTCGCCCAGTGAAGCAGGCTTGGGGGAGGCTCCTGGCCATTAGCATGCACCCACGCACAGCTAATGCACTGCAGATGTGCTGCACGCCCTGCACGTTACTTACAAAGGGAATTTAATGGCTTGGACATGGGTTAAGTTACAAATAAAAGTGGGGGGAAAAAAAAACCCTGCTGCTATTGGCACTGTACACCAGTTCTCCTGGTTTAACCCTTGCAAGGCACCACCTCCCATCCCTTCCCCTGGGGAAGGCACCATGAGCCCTGGACCCAAGGCCCGGCTGCCTGGGGAAGTGTTCCAGGTTCAAAAGCCTCTCTCTGCCCCCACCAAAAGGCCCTGCTCACAGCACTGCACTGGGGAGCCCCCACTTCTGCGCTGGCAAACCCACTCAGCACCCTGTTTGCTATGGCTGAGAATTCAACCCTCTCTCTGTGCTACTTAAGGGCCAGTTGCAAGACCCGAGAGGATCCCAGCCTGCTCAGGTACCATACCTGCGACGCTGCCTCCTCCTCCTCACTGGACTCCGAGGAGGAGCTGTGGGCTGGCTGGGTCCCTGCTGGTTTCTGCAGCGAGCCTGCTGGAGGAGCAGAGTTCACCCCATTAAACCCACTACTGCTGCCTGGGGCTGAGCTCACCTATCCAGCACAGTTACTGCCACCAAAAGGCCTTCTGCCTCCAAAGAAAAGGGGAGTGCTCTGCTAAGCTGGAGAGGAGGAACCCCTCTCCAACCACTATGTGAAGGTGACACACCTCCCACGGGGTAACAAAAGGCTGTTCCCGCCCTGGCCTGGCCAGCAGCACTGACAGCATCTTCCTGGGAGAACTGACCAGGTTTGGGGGGCTGCTTGCATGGCTCCTCCTTGTCACTGTCTGAGGAACTGCTACTGCCCGAGGTCTCCTCTGCCTGGGTGGGCGGCGTGGCCTGGCTCAGCCGGGCGCCCTGCACTGGCTGCAGGCCTGGCTTCCTTGACTTGGCAGTGGGACTTCCCAGGAGCGAAGCAGCCTCCGGGGCGGCAGTGTTGGCTGGAGGAGCTTTTCCCACAGGAACCGTTTGCTTTAGGCAAGGAGTGGGGGCCTAGGGAGAAGAAGATGAAATGCATCTGGAAGGAGGAATAGTTATTCCTAAGTTCATGGAACGGCTCATGCCCATGAACTATAAGAAGCAGCCCAGAGCAGATGGGCTTGGACCACCTCGGCCCTTCTTCAGCCACACTGCTCCAGTTCGTGTCAAGGTTAGTCCAAGAACGTCTCATGCAGGGCGCAGAGACCCCCATCTCCCCCGGCCCACAGATGAAGCAGGCAGCTGTGGCCAAGCAGACAACTCCTGACTGTACAAGGCACTCCTATCACAAAAGGAGGAAGAAACCTGCCAGCCAGCTGGGAGGCAGGAACAGCAAAGGTACCAGGGCTACCCTCTGCTCATCTGCCACCTTATGGTGCAGTAACAGTGGTTAAAATAGAGCAGCCCCCCTCTCCCCCCCCTCCATGAACACGCTCCCCCAGCTGGGGACACAGCACCAGCCTCATACTCCAGCACACCCATCTGCCCACTCTCCCCAGGGAAGCTCCCCACTTTAGTCTCCTCCGTCACTACCTCTCCTGCCAGCACATCGTGCTCCGAGGAATCACTACTTGAGCTCTCAGACACTCTGCTAACTGGAGGGACAGCAGGCGCTTTTATCCCCTTCCCCGAAGGCAGTGTGGCATTAGCCTTGGCAGCCACTGCGCTCGAAACCTTGGTTACTTTGATGTTCTGCTGGGACAGACTCTAAAATAGATGAGAAAGAAAATCAGGACAGAGCACAACTTGGAGGGAAAAGAGACACAAGCATACACCAATCCACAACTAACTCCTGAGCCCTTCCATTATTTTCAGCACAGCACCAAGGCTCTTTCCCCCCCCCCCCCCCCTCTCGCCCCTGAGGGCCAGCACACTGGGAGTGCCTAAAGCTCAGTGCCCCAAAGGCACCCATCCCCCATCCTGACAGGCAAAACGTGATGTGCTTGCAGGCTGTGAGATCCTTATCCACTGCAGACTGCAGTCTACTTTGCAAAGCAGGCACTCAGACTCCAGGATGTCTCCTTGTCTCCTAAAATCACACATCGAGAGTTAATCGGCAACAGAGATAAAGCAAAGACACCAACCACAGGGCAAGCAGGGCCTCTGGCACAGCCAGGAGCAGAGACATGAGGGCCAGCACACTGGGAGTGCCTAAAGCTCAGTGCCCCAAAGGCACCCATCCTGAGGGCAGGCAGGCAAAACGTGATGTGCTTGCAGGCTGTGAGATCCTTATCCACTGCAGCCCCAGCAAGACTGCAGTCGCAAACCCTACTTTGCAAAGCAGGCACTCAGACTCCAGGATGTCTCCTACACTCTAAAAATCACACATCGAGAGTTAATCGGCAACAGAGATAAAGCAAAGACACCAACCACAGGGCAAATCTGCCTTCAGGTCCACAAGCAAGCCACAGATTAGAGAGCAAATTAACAAGAAGCAATTTTGTTGCCTCACATTTGAAACCTCCCATCAAACTGAACATTAGGAGGGGTTAAAAATAGAAGAGCCAGGGGCATGGAAATCAGACACTGACATCAGGTCCAAGACACAAATACCAGCAGAGGAGGGAGCAGGAGCGACGAAGGAGTGCTCAGCCTCCTGGTTTGTGTTACAAACGAGGCTACGTGAGCAGCCCTCCCTCTCCAGATCTCTGACAAGCTGGGCCTTTGTGGGCTGACATTTCCCTCACACAACATCTGGCCTTCAGAAAGGAAGGCAACGCTCCACCATGCAGAGAGCCGCCAACCCGACGTGAGCTCTCAGCCGTCTTGCACAAAGCTCAAGTTACAGCAACTGTGTTATTTTATACAATCTTGGTACTATAAACACGCTTCAATCAAGGACTGCTCAGGCTGGCTGCCTGCCCACCAGGTGGGGGGAGACAGCCTTTCCACTGGCCACAGCATCAGGCCAACATGGGGAAGGGTTTCCTTGAGTGCACACAATCCCCCTCTCCCAGCAAGGGCACTGGCCAGACAGGGGACGCATATGTGCGGGACAAAAAGCACACTTGGCCGCTAAGCCCTGGGCTCAGAGCACCAGCCAAGCCACCACCACGTAGGAACGGCAGCCATGTTCCTCAGTCAAGGCTTCTTCACGTGGTTTCTTTCTCAGGCTCAAACTGCAGCAGAGGTGCAGAAACAGCCAAGCCAGCTTCACACCGAGGCAGCTCAGGCCCTAGGGAGCTCAGACGCGGCCCTGCGGGACTGGCATGGAGACACGAAGAGACGTGACATGAAGAGACTCAGGTGAGAGAGCTCCATGACACTCAGCAGTGTCTCTGCACAGAAATGGGGGTCATGTCCCTTCTCCAAGGCAGGGGTCTGGCTCCTCCAGCTGAAAGGCAGCAGGACCACTGTGCTACCCTTCAGGACAGATCCTCCCAGCCTCCCAAGGCTTGTGGAGGGGGAGTCCAGCGAGCTCCAGCTGCACCCCACACCCAGGGGTTTGGGAGGAAACAGGCGATGGGTTGCCTTGGAGCTACCCAGCTCATGGAAAGACTCTGCCTGCAAGGATTTGGCTGCTTTTCCACTCTAACTCCCTGAAGTAGGGCAAAGGGGACAGAGTCCCAGAGGACATCTGGGCTCGTGTGTCTACTCATGTTCCTGCCAAAACATTCACACCCTCCACTGCTTTCACACACTGCAAGCTTGCTGCGGTCAAGACGTGCACCCAGAGCCAGGGTCAGCGAGACCCAGGGACGCCGCCAAGAAAACCTGACCCAGCCAACAGGAGGGCTCCTCTCTGCACCACTCATCACCCACCCAGCTACCACCTCCTAAGTCCTGAGACCTCCTGAGCGTGCAGGACTAAGTGTCCACACCCAGCGGGTCAGCAGCTCCTTGCCTGTGAAGGGGGGACTACTTCTTCCTCTGAATCCGACTCCTCGCTGGAATCATCGCTGCTGTCCACAGGTGGAGGGGCTGGCGCTGGTGCTGGAGCTGGTGCCTTCTTCACGTGTGTTGGCTGGGGCACAGCATTGGTTTTCACTGCAGAAAAAACAGAAGAGATTGTCACCATGAGAAAGAGTTGCTCCCTGTGGCTCTCCAGAGCAGGAGCTATCACAACTGGCTGGGCCGTTCCATGTGCAGGGGAGAGAAGGAAACTCATGAGGATGCAGGTGAGGGGTCTTGGCCACTACCAGGAGACTTACCAGCTTGTGGAGGCTGTGTCTGTGCCACAGGGGACTCCTCTTCGCTGTCAGACGAGTCACTGCTCCCACTTTCTGAGGCCTGGCTTTTCAAGGTGCTTCCCACTGCTTTTTCAGGCAACCCAGCTTTAGCAGCCTGGCTCCGGTTGGGAACAGGCCCAGGCTGTTCTGTTAACCTCTTAATAAAAAAAGAAACACAGGCCCAGAAGTGTGGTATTAGTACAGGTGTTGTTTAGGAGTTTAAGTGCAGTTTCAGCTCAAGCTGGGTTTTGTTTTACCCTAACACAGCTGTTACTAACACTCACTCTATCCTTGCCGTGTTGGAAGGGGCTTCAGTTACTGCCTGGACCGAGCTGCTGGAGAGACATACCACTGCATTTACCAATATGCTTTTGACAGGAAGCCTGAGCATGTTTTACTGCACGAGCATGCAGGGCTAACAGCGCTCATAAGCTCAGAACAGCAATTCCTTATTGAGGCCAAGACACTGGCTGGACAGGAGCCTGAGGGCAGGAGAAGCACTGCAACCCTGAGACTCCCATTCCAAGGAAGCCTCTCATTTAAGCACGACCTCCCCCCAGCTTGGGGAATCAGAAGGAGCTGGGAAAACTTACGCCAAAACACTTGCAAGATTCAGAGACAGTCTCAAAGCAGCTACATCCTAGAGCTGCTGGAGAGCTCAGCGTAGACACCGGGCTGACACAAGCGTTTGGGATCACAGAGGGCGGGCAGAGACAGACCAGGACCCAAGATACGATTGAGCACCTTGGAAACTGATCTGTCAACAGGCCTGAGAATTTAGAAATCTCCAGACAACAAAAAAACCCTGCAACTCACTCGGGCTGTGCCTTTCTACAGCACCCGTCAAGTCTCTGATGTCCCGGAACAGGCCATGAGCCACTGCCCCAAGCAACTAGTGTGTCAGCACTAGGAAGCCACAGTTATCGCAGCACCAGATACACAACTGCCAGGTGAGACGATCTCCTCCCAGCTCCTCTCCCGGCTTGGGCCGAGGGCTGCAGACATCCCTCCTGCACGCTGCTGAAGGCTAGCGGTGGCAGAGGGAGAGGGAGCGCTTGCCGAGAGATCTGGTAACTTCACCACCCACAGATATCCTCCAGGCTCGCAGTGCTCTGCACCCACTCAGTTTACTCCACTCATCGTTCATCTCCGGGCTGCTCTGCCAGAGTACATCACGCTTGCCAGGGCAGGCAGACCCCATCCAACCTGCATGTGATGGCAGCCCACTTCAGCGCTCCATCTCCAGGCCTCCCGCAAGAAGGTGAGAGACTCCTGCGTGGCTGCACAGCCCCTGCCACCCCTCTCTTCCAACCCTGCCATGCTGCTAACGCAGCAATACCCTCTCAGCCCACAGCAGAGGACCAGGAGGACTTCAGCAGCGCCGGCCCAGCTGGGGGCTGCTCCTGGCCAGCAGCCGAGAGCACAAGCCTAGCAGCCTCCCGGGAGGACAGATCTTACCATGCTTCCTGGCACAGCCCCACCGAGGGCTGCCACTGGGGCAGTGTTTATCATCTCCAAGCCAAACACTAAACAGACAACAGCATCTGCATGTTTATCCCATTAAAGAACAGCTCTCCGAACAAGCCAAGCACATTTTGACTCTGCTTAGAGAAACAGAAACCTCCACAAGTACTTGGGGAGGGGGGATTGCAAACCTCACTTGTCTGTTTTGTTTTGATACCAGTGAGTCACTATCTCCAGGAGAGAGGCCAGATTTGCAATGCTGAAGAGAGAGAACTACTTGAAGCAGACACATGAACTCACACACTCACACTCTACTTGAATGCGATAGCTCCTCTCCCTCTCGTCCCAAGCACTGCTGTGCAAGGGAAGAGTCTACTGAGATCAGACCCCACTCGCTCACTTTTAAGACCTTCACAGCAACGGGACTGGCTTCTCCCCCTACCCAGATGCATGGCACAAGGGCTGCTTCATTTCCTAACTTAGCAAGAGATTGGGAAAGAGCTGCCGTACAGAGGCATCCTGACACAGAAGGAACATAACAGGATGGTCGCTACCAGATGGCTGACAGCCGCCACGTCCTGTGGCACAGCCCCCGGTGGGATCAGGCCAGCAGCGTGGCTGAGTTACACCCAGGGAGCGGGGTAACACAGGCAGAGAGCTTCTGACAACTTAACAGTCACAGGTACTGAAGTAACTCAGAGAGGAGGAAAATAATTCAAGAGGAAATCATTTTTCCTGCTCCCTCTCCAGCCCCCAAACCAGGAGCTGCCTGCGGCTCAGTACGAGTGTGATGACTCAGCTCCCGCACAACCCATCTGCCACTCTGCTGGGTCCATTTGCATCATGCAGCGCTGCATGACAAGAGGGGGAAACAGCACCGAGCCACGCGCTCAGCGCACATTGTAACAATCACACGCCATCGCTGCCCGTGCACCGCGGAAGCACCGCCAGCACCTCAGGACTGGGACCAGTATCTCAGCTGTGTCACGGCACAGCAAAGGTACGACTGTCACCTGCAAGGGAGCGGGGACAGGGTTCAGGGAGGGAAAGAGACCATCCATCTCTTGGGAGATTTGGCCTCTCCCCACAGGGCCCGCGGTCCAAGATAAAAACTTGCAGGCACAACTTCTACCAGCGCAGCCCGCACGGGTTTTCCTGGGATGCTCAAGGAAGACACAGGTTCCCAACACACGCATGCACATGCATCTCACGCCTGGTAAGCAGAAGCCGAAGCCTGTCCACAGAGGGCTCGAGTGCCATCTTTGGACCAAAACATCCAGGAAAGAGGAAGCAGAGCAGAATTAGCAGTTCCAAAAGAAAAGCGGCTCACAGCATCTTTAAGGTCAATCCAGACTGTCCACCATCACCATCCTTCCCCCCCAAAATATGCAAACGCCTTGTCAACTTCTTTGACTAAATATTCCTGAGTCTTCACGGGTAAACATACCAATTAAGCAGTTCAATTTAGGCATGATGTTCATTTTAATTGTGCTAATCCACCCCCACAGGGAAAGATGAAGCAGCTTCCAACGCTCTGTATCTGTTTGGATCTTGCACAGAAGCCAGAGGAAGTTGCAGGATACAGTAAGTCAGTGGTTAGCATATGCCCAAGTAGCAGATGGTGAGGATGAGCTAAGAAGAGTTTGACTGGGAGGACAGGACCGTGGACACAGCTAAGCCTAATGGTTTATCTTCAGGCTTCACTCGTGGTCTCTGCCTGTAGGCTACTAACACGGGAAGAAACAGCCTGTTTGGCAAAAATAGAGCTCCCTCGATGACAAGCTCTTCCTTGCTGACTGTGGCTGTGGAGGGGTAACCAGCATCTTCCCTCTTGCAAACTGGTGAAGTGGTTAAATAGCCATCGGCAAGACGGCTACCTGCTACTGCCAGCTTCAAATCAACACCGGGGGGAAACAAACAAACCTACCCCAGCATGTCCTTCACCTACAACCCTGCTAGAACAGATGAGTCTTGGTAGTTCTACAGTGGGACCCCATGGCACAGCTATCAGAATAGCTGCTCCTGCCACCCAGAGCTGAATCTTCACATATAATCACGCAGGAAGAGCAGCACAGAGCCAACTGTTAGAGATGCGTCCCCCTCCACCCACCTTAGCAGACCAAGGCTATAAAGACAAAAAATGCAGAGCCTCTCCAGCTCCTGCCTGTCAACAGTGAAAGGACATGTTGACAAAGAGCCTCCTTGCAAGGACACGTGAGGCTCTGCCCCCGGCTTCCCTTCCTCCCCTGCAGATAACAGCTGCCATCTCCAAAACGCTGCTTTCAGGACACTTTCTGAAGGGCCCTGCAGCTCAGAGTCAATGCAGAAGGTCTCCGTACAATGTGCCTAAGGATGCTCTCAGGAAGGGATTTGCTTCCCTACGAGTTCAACCACCTAAGTCTGAGTTCATGGTCCTTCTCTGAAGGACCTCTGAAGAGGTCTAAACAAACCCTTGCAGGAGAGCCAAGACCAAGCTATCTGTGACCCCGCACACACGGCCCACTCCAGAGGGGCAAGGCACGAGTGGAGTGAAACAGTTGGTATCAAACAGGTTACTCCCCCACCCTCCTCTGGTATGGCCGAGTGAGAAAAGTTAGGCTATACTTATTTCCAAGTAGAAGGAAAGATCTTCCTCTCTGAGGGACTGAGATACAACATACTACATGCTACTGGTGTTTCAAGGAGATCAGTAGTAGCATTTAAGGGCTAAACAATTGTCTTTCATATCCCATCCCCTGGCACTGAGCTGAATGCGGTATCACCTACCTTCTGGCTGACAGGCACAGGGAGATCCTCCTCTTCACTGCCTGAGGAGTCAGAGCTCTCCACTGGCTTTGTACTTTCAGCAGGCTTCGTGGGAGCAGCAGTCCTTCCCGGTGTGGTTTTGGCCTGCTTTGGCACTGCTGGTTTTGGTGCTGGCTTCCCTTGGGACAGTGGAAGTGTTTTTGCTGGAGCTGCTTTGCCAGAGAGTGATGCTGCTGGTGTAGGTTTCAGTGGGGATGGGACGGCCTGGGAGGATTTTGGAGGTGGCTTTGTCTGGACAAGGCAAGAACAGCGTGAAACAAGGCAAATCCCACAGCAGCATAATTCATTTGCTCAGACTGTAATCAAGGGAAGAGATTTCAGAGCCCCCTGGGAAAGGCAAATGCTGAAGGAAGATTAGCAACCGGCAGGGCACAAGGCATCCTTTCATCTAGCTGTGTGGGGACAGCCTCCCAAGATGAGAAAGCAAGACCAGACATTCTTCATCAGCCTGCTGATACTACCAGTCCCCTCCAGTGAAGTACACTGCAGCACTTTGCACTCTCCACAGCAGGGAAGCTAAGCTGCACTACAGTTTGACAAGTTAGACGCTACTTATTGCAATTTATAGCTGAGAGGCAAATTCAACCATGACAATTTACCTCTTCAGGTGGGAAAAGAATTGCCGGGTCTTTTTTTATTTAAAAGTACTGATGGATTTTTTTTTTTTTTTTTTAAGAAAGGCACAAAGGCTTGATTAAAGCTCAGAGCAAAGACACTGAGGTGCCTTTAAACACCCCATGCCTCTTTCCTCCCACCCCCAACATGACTTTGCTATACATTACATGCATTTACAAAATTTTCTTTTCACTGCAATTCCTAGCCCTGGAGAGGCGTGCAAAGAGAGACAGAGTCTCGGATAGACGCACTTGGGTTACCGATGGAGGTTCCTCATCTTCACTGTCTGATGAGTCGCTGCTCTCTGATGTGTCATCGGGCTTTGCAGCCCCAGGAACCGTTGTGGACGCGGGTTTGGCCTGGTTTGGTGCCAGTGCCACTTGCCTCACTGCATTCTTCTTGAGGGACACTGGAGCAGCAGGTGCACTTTTCACAGGTGCTGCATTAACCTGCACTGTTTTCGCAGCTGGTTTTGCCTGGGAACATGGGGAACAAAAGGGAACAGGAGAATCGGGTAACATCTCAGAAGAAACTGGTTGAGAGCTGTAACTGCGTGGAATCTGTTTTAAAGAAGGCTACCTTGCTAACTTTGACCAGGACAGGCTTGTTCAGACCCACGGGCTGTGGACTATCTCATGCAAGCCACTTTCTCCACAGACTGCCTGACTACATCTGTGGAGCTGCACACCAATCACCTCCTACAGATCAAAGGATCTCCCTCAACTTCAGGCACTAGGAGGAACTGGGATGGAATGGTTGATGCTGGCAGGGGTTAGCGGGGCTCTCAGTCACACAAGTGTGTTTCTCTGGCCTTGGGTTTGGGGATCCCACACGCCCAGGGAAGTGGGTGTTGTCGGACTACAGCACTGCAGCATTTCCTCTCTCCTTAAAGGGAAGGGACGTGATTTCCTAGAGACAAGGACCCTGGGTTGGAGGGGTTACCTGCACCGCTGGAGTTGCAAGCTCCTCCTCGGAGGATGTCTCATCACTTGATTCCTCGCTGCTGCTCTCAGCGGCCCCAGCTGCCTGCTTCGGCTCTGAAACACAAACGAGGAGATGTCACAGCTGCTGCCTGCTCTGAGCTCCCAGAGCATGATGCTAATGCAGCTTTTGAAGTCAGGAAAACAAAACGAGCCGCAGAGAGGGCTAAGGGGATTTGCAGGGAAGAGGGCCTAGCCATGCTGAAAACATCAGTGGCCTGCTGGGAACAGCTTCTCCAGACAAACATTGGCCCACAAACACCACTCCCCTGAGCGCAGGCAGAGATGGGAAATCCTTCCTGGCCACCCTCTGACCCTATGGGGAGCTGCCCAGCCACACAGCTCCCTGCAAGGAGCACCCAGCCTGGCTGGACCTCCTCTGGAAAAGAGCCAAGAGAAGGTCCATTTTCAGAGCTTCTGCGATCTATTCCTCACCCCCCCCGCAACACACACACTTCAAAGCAGTAGAAGATTTCCCTAAAGACTTCAAAACCTAAAACCAATCACTTTGCAATTGGGAATAAAGCGAAGATGCTGCAGTGCCTTTCCAAAAAGCTGAAAGCATCTGCAGTATTAGTACTGCATCTCCTCCAGATAAGCTACGCTGTTATCTCCAACCTCGTAGTGCTGGATGCTGCCAGACAGACATCTTAGCACAGAATCTGCCGCTTGAAATGGGAGCAAGCATGCTGGATTCATCCCACAGAGCTCCAGAGCTGGCTGCTTTGCAGTATTCTTGCAGCCTCCCCAAGGAACAAGCATCGCTCTGAGCTTTCCAGCAAGGGAGCTGAAAGGAACACGCTGAAGGCACAGCTCAGACCTGATTCGCAGAAAAGCTGGAGCACACATGCATTTACCGCACCCCGCAGGCTCCTTACCCACTTTGGGCACTGGGGCCTTCGCAGCTGGCGTCTCATTTTCCTCCTCACTCTCTGACGAGGAGCTGCTGCTGGAGCTTTCTGCTGCTTTGGTCATTACCGGTGCTTTGCTTTGACCTACTTTGGCCGCGGCTGTGGCAGCATGTCCGGGCTTCCCAGGACTGGGCAGTTTCTGCCCAGCCTTGGCCGGAGCTGCAGACGCAGCTGGCGCGTTGGGCTTCTGCTTATTTGAGACCACAGTTCTGTCTGCAGCAGAGAGCACTGCTGCTTTGCCTGCTGGGGCAGTGGGTTTGTTAGGAGAATGCAGGGAGTTGGCAGCTTTGCCACTCACCACAGGTGGTGTCACCTACAGGAAACAAAAGGAATTAGAAGCCTATAGACAGACGAGGGGCTAAACTGGACACAACGTACCTTAAACAGCAATCTGGCAGCTGGGAAAGCCATAGAGCTCTTTAGGGAAGCACTTGGGGGACAGATCTCTAAGAGAAGGCTTATGCCAGCGTAGGAGGGTCATTTAAATATGAATTCCACCCCAGCCCACAATTCTACACATGCCAACGTGTCTGGGTCAGTCCTGGCCTCAGAGTACTATCAGCCTTCAAAGCTGAGAGAAGAATTGCCTTACCGTAACTGCACCTTTTCCAGCTGGTGTCTCCTCTTCTGATGAGGAGTCATCGTCTTCACTGCTTTCTACATTCACTCCTGAGTTCGTGGCCAGGGAGAGGCTGGCTGCTGCACAGGAGGGAGCCACAGAGAAATTGTGTGAGCGCGTCTCTCGCGTCAAGATGCCCTCTGGTTCGCAGGAAGGCCCCAGCAGGCAGGGCCGGGTCCCATCTCCACACCTGCCCCAACACCACCGCCGCTGTCCTTGTGACAGGCAAGTGCTTTGCTCCTCCACCCCATCCTTCTCCCCACCACCAAGACAAGGAACCTGCCAAGTTCTGCATGTTTCCAAGGGCTGGTCTACAGCAGATGAGACCGAGCCAAAACCTATCAGACACATGGGGTTTTGTTAGACTACGCAAGCCAACGCCTCCCACATCAGCTGCACCAGGGATCTATCCCCACCTCAGACAGAGGGCACTGGCTTTCCAGACCAACTAACAAGTCCTTCCTTCATCCATGAAACAGGCCTGCCTTTGCTGGCCCAACACACACCTGGGACCAACTAGAAGGTGCTCCACAGTGGGCAGCGTTCGGTTCCCAAGGCTTCATCCAAGCGACAACACCCACCCCTTCCCAACGAATCATAACAGGTTTTCTCCAGCTTCAGCAGACATTTGTGCTCCCCAGAAACTCCACATGAGAAGGGGGTGCTAAGTAAGTTGTCCTATTTTTCTAAGAGCACAAGGGAATAGCCATCACTTTACAAGCATTTTCTCTAGCCAAGCAAGTCGTGCTGCTCCTACACAAGCCTCCAGTCCTACTCTGTCAACTCCAGGGAGATAAAAGGCTCCTACCATTTGCAGCTTTCACCTTCTCTTTCTCATCCTCTTCTTTCTCTGAGCTCTCAGAGCTGCTCACGGGATCAGGAACTCTGATCTTTTCTGGGATGGCTGCCTCCTCATCACTCACCTTTCTTCTTCTGGAATTCGAGGGAGTTCTGAGGGAACAGAATTTGCGTCAAAATAGGGGAAAAAAATATGTTGAACAAATTGGAATACAATTATTCAACCACTCTCAGGTCAGGCTCCAGCCTAAGGACAGGCAGTGTCATTCCTCTGCAGCTCCTAAGGGGGTGGGCGAAATACTCCTCTCGCCTGCAAGGGACATCTCCAGTCCTCCTCAGGCAACTCCTGAGAACAACATATCCTTGCAATACTCAGAGGAGATACTGAACACAGACTGTTTTTCTGTGTCCTAGGCAGAGTCTTTCTTCCTTTAGCAGAGAAGTAAAAATGTATTTGGTCAGGCTAGTGCTCACCACAGAGCAAAGGCATCCTACAGAACAAATTCTGTCTCCAGGAGGTAGCTATAGCCAGACAGTCAATAAATGCAGTCCCAGGGCTAGGGCAGTGATCCCCAAACAGGTCTTGGTATTCCATGAGGCCGTGAGAAGTGAATCTAAAGGCTGCAAGAGCCATTTGAACTTGGGTTCACAGGCCAAAAGGACAGAAAAGTCAGGTTGCAGAGAGATTTAAGAAAGAAAGTGGCTGGACCTACAGAAGATCTGTTGAAAGAAGGGGAGGAAGAGGCCACAGATGAGCATTAAACACTTAAGCTGTTCAATTGGGTTAAAACATGAAGCTGGAGAAAGACGTTTCCAGGCTCTGAATCCCACCTGTACCAGCAGAACAGATGTGGCTAAAGTTATCATTAATTTTCAAATGAAAACATAGGTAATACATTCGCTTTATTACGAGGATAACATTGGCTGGGCACACGTCTGCATGTGATTCACACATGCAGTACTTCTAAGTTGGTAAAAGCCCTGAGACACCCACAGTTATCAGAGGCGAAAAAAACCCTTGCTTTGGTGCCAGTTCAGCTTATTTTATTTGTTCATCTAATTTAAAAATAAGATTAGTTTAACGACTTGGCCAGTAAAGATCGTGCTTATTATGAGTGTTTCAGTAGCGCAGCTGTAACGGCAAGTTCTCTGCAAGCAGGCTAGGCCGAAGGCACATTTGCTATTACAAAGCGCTGTGAACTACTGTAATAATCCCTTTAATAAAATAACAGGGCAAGCCGCACAGGCAGCTACGACACTCCAATTCCTTCCTGATTCAGTGGCAGCTGACAGCACAACAGAGACTGCTGTGAGAATTTGTCGTGAGTGACCAGGCGCTCAGGGATACTGCATGGGGGAAAACAGCGGTGCCCGCAGGCCCTGGTCCTACAGCAGCCCGGAGCATTTGAGGGCTGCAGGGCTCCCAGCTGCTCCTGGGGCTGAGGGGATCCAGCTTCCCCCTGCACCCAGGCACCCTTCCACCCCCTCCGAGACTAAACAAGACTAAACGTAGCCCTGGAGGAAGGCCGCTCTTAAGTAACTGGAAATCTCAACTGTTAAGTTCACTTTGAAAGAGCTTCTGAAAGAGAGCACCAAGGACGGCCTCAGTTAGACGGGCAAGAGCCGCAGAGCAGTCGGAGGAAAGGCATTTTCAGGCCAAAAGCCTATGAAGCGACAAGATGCGAGAATCACAGCTCACCCACACGACAGCACTCCAGCGAGGCAGCGCACTTTCTGGATAAACAAGACTACTGGTCAATACATCCCTCACTGTGACTCCAAACCAGGCGTAACTGAGAGGGACCAGGAGTAAAAGGCGTACTTGCGGGGTGGGACCACAACATAAGGGTGACGCTAGAGAAAAAGGAATTAAATGTGATGCGAGTGCCCTGTCACCCCCCCGAGCTTTAAAAGTAATAGTGTCGGGAAGGGTTTGCTGTAGCACCCAGTATAACTAGCATAGAGAAAGGTCACCATCAATACCCAAGGGAGCAATAAATTGTTAGAGGGAGGAACTGCAAGCCTGTTTCTACGCTGCTACATCCTCACCTAGATCCAGCCTTTCTCCTGCTCAAGTAAGAAAATCACGGAGACAAGAGCGAGAACCAGGGTAGCGCCAAGGCACGAGGTGTTCTAGCAGAAGACACCTTTGAAGCAAACACCCGCTTCACGAGGCTGCTGGCACGGCCACGCTGAGAAGCATCTTCACTCCAGCGCTCCTCAGCACGGGCACAGAAGCCCAGCTCCACCGATTCCCTGATAACCCGGCTCTGCGGCTGCCACCCGGCCTCTCTCTGCAGCGCTGCGCTTCAGCATCAAACCAAAGCGAGTGGTGCACAGGGTGGGTGCAACCATCATTGCACCCCACAGATGGGAAGCCTCCACGCTGCAGACCTTCGTGTAGGGTACTCAGTGGAATAACTGTGTGGGAAGGCGTTGGGCTGAACATGTAAGGGCTTGAAAGGACAGGCTGAAACCAAGAGACTTCCTCCAAGTCGGAAGATACGTGATCTGTGCCAAGGCTTAAGTCCCTGTAAGAACCTTGGCATTTCAGCATCTGCTCAAATTCTCTGTTGTTGGGTCAATGCTCCTGCAAAGCACGTGGCTTTAAAAAGAAAGTGAAAAAGAACTGGGGAAAAGATCTTTGCCAGTAAAGCATGACTCTGAGGCCCACAGTACTCCAGTATTAACCCCAACCGGCCAGAACAGCATCAGCTGCTCAAAACTAGAGTAACAACTTGTCTCCAAGCTCAGGAAACTTTAAACAAAAGTAATCTTCAACATCTGAAACGAATCGGTCTGAAACCAGAGGCTAGGAGGAAAGTCTGCTGAGCACAGTTATCATCGGAAACACTCTAACAACGGGAAATTCCAGCAAATAAAGATCACACGTGCCATGCAGCCTGGATGTTAACACAGTCTGGAATCTATTTGATAGTCATTTCCTCCTTCGACTTACTTTTCCCAGTGGGTAAAGATGTCCTCGAGAGAGGTCGAGAGGGAAGGGAGCAACTTCTGTGAAAGCAGAAGGAACGCAAGTCAGGCATCGGCCCCGTTTCAGGATGCGACGGCCAGAAGGAACCAGAGGCCGCAGAGGCCCCTCCAGGAACCCCCAGGAAAACGGGAACGTGCCCTCCCCGCACACAGCTCCCAGTAAAGCCCCTCTCCCCTCCCCTCCCCTCCGGCGGCTCGTCCCGCTGCACCCAGGGCCGCGTCCTCCCCTCGGGGGCCCCGGCGGGGCTTCACCCGCAGCAGCACGTGTTCGGGGAGCACCTGCCCCCCGGTACGGGACGGCTTCATCCGGCGGGCTGCCGGCCTCGGCCCTTCTCCCCGGCCGGCTCGGGGCCGGG